CAATAACGTTAACTTTCAAACCAATTTTAAGGATTCCAAGGGCCATAGCAGTTGATTTTCCGAGAAAGCACCTAGAACCGTTTTTTATTACGTAAAAAAGCCGATGTCTCTCTGTTTGGCCTTATTGTAATTTTTGATGTGAAAGAACTCATTATTTCCATAGGTTATTTGCTTACGTAAGCAAAAAGCAATTTTTTTCTGGATTTCTCACTTGGTCCCAGACCTTAACTTTTTTGATTTCAGGTTAGCCCAAGTTTGATCCTCCAGTATATTACTCTTACTTCCAGAGTCAATCACCATATCAATGGCAATTCCCCAATGTTACACGCCATAACACTGTCGATTTCTTCCTCCTTCGCAGTATTTTTTGAAGAGTTGTCGGATATGTTTTTTCTGATTTTCGCTGGCCTACTGTAATCTGAGAAATTGTTATATCGGCATTTCTTTGGATTCGTTCGAAAGTAATATTGATAATGCCCTTTGTAGCCGCATTTACAACATGATTTCAACCTAGCAGGACACTTTATAGAATCTGAAGGATGATTTCCGCCACAACGGGAACATCCTTTCGAGCGAGAAATGTGGATCACCTCCATCATCTTTGATTTGAGGTCAACAAGACCTTCCAACTGCCTATTGACAGTTTCCAGAGCGTTGGCTTCTGCAATTATTCCATTGAGATTTATTGCATCACCAGTGATAAGGATTTTTTTCCTGAGTTCTACCGATGTGCATTTTTCTAAAATTTGATCTATCATGTATTCATCCACATTAGTAAATTAACACTTAGCTGCTTGGTTTCTAAGTCGAAACAAAAATGTTTCAAACTTTTCCCCTTGATCTTGCTTTGTCAGACGGAAAAATGACGTTCATAAATATTTGAATGCTTTGGATAGAAGTACTCGTTTAATTTATCAATGCTAGAAACGAAATAACTGCCCTATTCAGGCCACCATCCTCAGCCTCGAAGGCTGAGAATAATGGCCTGAATAGGGCAGTTATATCTGACTATGCATCTTTTCAAAACACGCCGATGAATAGTGTTTACATAAACACTCTTGGTCTTACCATAATTTTACATTGTATGAGAGACAGATCCGACGTTTAAAAAGTTCTGGATTGAAGAAATCTGTCTCTTACCAAAGCTAGAATGTATATTACCATACATAGTTTTCGCTAGGTAGGTATTACAAAAGGTGTTTTCATTCATTTCTTTTGTTTCATGTATGTCATGATCTGATTGGATCAAATGTTCAATGCGGTGTTTCGTTCGTTGACATCCATCAATATAATTTTTTAATACGGTCCTGTATATTTTTTCATGATTCAAAAAGTCTGCATTGATTGATGAATCACAACACAATGCGTTTCTCGACTTTTCTTGTCAAAAATACATCATCAATATCGTCGCTTCAAAACCTTCTCGCCCCTGTGAATGAAGGAACTATAACTCAGTAACAATGTTTCATTCAAACAGTCAGAGTCAATATATTGAGGAAAGTTAGTTCAGTTGTGAACTTTCAATACAAAAATCTACAACAATTGTATTTGCAATATGTATTACATAATCGATGTGAAATTAATAAAAACGAAATTATGAAATACATTCAGATACTGTCTCAATATCAATCAATAAGGTAACCATTCACGTTCAAGGTTGAGGTTAGAAAGTCAGTTTACCCAAGGAAAGCGAACGCGAACCGATGTATACTATAAATTCATTATACCATCCGCGACAACACAGACGTCAATTATTTTGAATCTAAGAGTAAAATTTACTAATTGACAAAAATCAACCTTCAAAATCAGCTGTTACTTTATATCGCAATGCAATGAAAATTAACATTTTATCGCTGCTGATGACACATTCACCAAACAAACAAACAATGCGGTATTCACTATTCGTATAAACGCTTCATTGCCACTTCATGTAGTTATAGCACGCATAACAAGGAGGAGTTGAAAAGTTCTTCGATAACATCACATATTCAAGTCTAAAAGTACTACAATCCCTCAGTTACTTTTAAAATGAGCACCAGAGAATAATAAAAAATGAGAAGCCCGGATTGTATCGAAAAAAAACTGTTCATCAGAGTTTGACCATCCATAAAGAGTAACCATACTTTCCTAAGCCTAAGTCACACTTTCCTTGCAAGTATTATTAGAACTGAGGCAAGTCTATACAGGGCGTTCCAACGAAAACTTGACCTCCCCTGTAAGTCAGAAAAGGACATGTAATCGAAAATTTCAAAGCACACGTCAATTTTTATTTCTATTTCTATTTCTGCTATGAAAATCGTACCCGAAACTTCACCCCCCTGCGGTCAGCAACTACCCCCCTATTGTTTTCAATGGCATGGGGGTTGACTGATACATCATTTGAAAGATATTTTGTCCACCTATTACCTCTGTAACTTATTTCATAATTGATTCATTCGTTATTGGGAAATTAAATGTTGAAATTTCCATTCAAGAAAAAACAGAAAATCCGCTGTCGTTCATTTTAATGAGGAAATCAAGAAAAATAATATCGATCGATTGAGTGGGTAAACAAAGCACTCACTTAGAACCGACATGCTACCGACCTCCCTCCATTCTAATTTCATTTATTCTTTTATGGATTGCGAAACATAGTAGGATCATATTAGTCCGAACTTATGAAATTACCCATTAAACAGTGTCAACTACTCTCAAACAACGATGACTATTGTCTATATTCACTTGGAACTTTTTGCATTGTTAGAAAGAACATTAACTATTTTAATCAATACGTTGCATTACGCCCTTCTGTTATCAATTATCAACGTTATTTTCTGAAATACTCAAATTATAAATGCATTGACAAAATGGTTCAAACTTTCATGGCTGAGGTTTTCAGTGTAACTGTTTTTCGAGTTTGAAAGCCGTGGATTTTTGGAATTTCTTCCTGACGTTTCACTAGCGCGAGTGGCTTCCCTCTGAAGAAGCTAGCCACTCGCGGCAGCGAAACGTCAGGAAGAAATTCCAAAAATCCACGGCTTTCAAATTTGAAAAACAGTGACATCATAAATGCATTGCCAATCCAGTTGGTATAAATAAACACGTTTGGAAAAAGTTCTCTACCATTGCTGAGTTTCTGAACCTCCCGGAAGCAAAGGAATATACAGATCACTATTCCAGAAAGTCTTCTGCTTCTTTGCTAGTAGAATCAGGAGCAAATATAACGGATATAAAGAAGCACGTAGGAGACTACAACAGTAGGTGAGGGTTACATCGATCAATCTGTTTCTCATAAAAAGGCTATTTCCGAAAGAATAATCTCAACAGCTAGCTCCAACTTTACAACATCGTCCTCTTAACTTCAAGAATTTAGTCTTTGCGTAAGAAAGTAGAAATACTTGGTCTGACTGCCATGAGTAATATCAGGCCGAGTCTATTAGAAAGGAAATACATGATTTAGCAAACTTGTATCTTGCTATGCAAAAAATTATTATGGTGGTGTGTATGATACTGGTCTATCTCCGATTTCACGGCAAAGCTTTCATGATAATTTTTTATTATTCTTCAGGTCCACTTATGAAAAGTAGTTGTGAATTGAAAACTGAATTGAATTATGACTGATTAAACTTGTATAAAACTGTGGAATTAGCCGAAATGAAAGCAATTTTTCTCAGCTATACTGTTTGGAATCCGAAATCTGTTTGAAATATGCTGTCAGCCCCTCCAAAGTCACAACTTGTACGAGCTAAATATTAACGAGGTCCTACCTTTGCCCTACCGTCCGGCCTCGCGGCTTCAACCACCATTTCACCTAATGGTGAAAGTTTTGTCGAATATGTAAAATGTTTTTGAAATTATCCTTCAACAAATTGATTCTCAAAAAAAAATCTTTGTGCAATTAGACATTTTTGATAACTTTTGGCAACTGTGATGGAACTGTTCGGATAGTTCTTCCGCCTTTCAGAAACTAAATCATATTCCCATTTTAGAGAGTTGTGAGGCATGATGAAACCGTAGAATTTAATTCATTACTTATCATTAGGAAAGTTTAGGAAATCAAGGTTTTCGGACGCATGAAGCTAGTTACAGAACTGGAGACAATTCAGTATGCATTCATAATAGTTACACTCAACTTCAATAAGGACATTTCGCGCTAAAATACTCCTTCGTTATATTTTCTGCTTCTCCATTTAGCCTCTAAAACATATTTTTTATTTCTGATCATGTTTATTAGAAATCATTTGAAATGAAATGTTGCCAAACGACGGAGCCAGGGAAAAACGTTTTTGTCCATTATTTGAGTTAATGATGGCATTAAAACCAATTCGGACAGAACTTCAGATCATATATTGGTTTCAGGGGAGGAAACGTTAAGATCTGACCTGAATAAGACCTGAATAATGGTGATTGAAGTTTTTATGTCCAGAGGAAGGAACGTTTAGGTCCGGAAGGGCATGGGAAAGAAACCTCAACGTCCACAATGCAACTCCTCAAATGGTACATAGTTTCGACCCGATGATTGGCGTGAAGTGTTAATAAATAGCATAGTAACGCAATCACCTTTCACCATCGTAAACTGTGGAGAAGATGTACAGTTTCAGATGAGAACTATTAGAGTGGTCAGAATTGTCAAAGACCAACCGAAGTTCATTTCGCACAAGAACTCATATTTCGGTGCGTTCATTGAGTCTTCTATTCAAGAAAACGTAAAAAAAAAACAAGGAATAGAAAGGCATCACTGTGACGACGACGTTGTCCCTTCGTATTCTGACCCAATTGCAATTAAGCTGGATAAATAGAGATCTGCAACATCTAAAGCAGTTTTTGCAAAGGGCGAATTCCAGAAATTTCTACTCAAACTCACAAGCAGACATAGATGATCAGGATGGAAATAAGGATGAATACATATGACCCGCCAGTAGACGATGAAAAACCAAACGACTAGGAAAGATATGTTGTTGTCCATGGGATTTCTGGAAATTTCCTATTAATATAAACATTGTTTGTTCAATTGATTACAGGTGAACATCATATTCCATGTTGCCGCCACAGTACGATTTGATGAAAAACTCAAAACTGCTGTTGCCATCAACGTTAGAGCATCTCAAGAAATGCTTCTTTTGGCCCACCAAATGCCAAAACTCAAGTCTTACATACATGTTTCAACAGCTTTTTCAAATTGTACGTCAAAGATAATAGAAGAAAAGTTTCAGCCCACGTCGATAGACTACAAGACTTTGATTATTATGTCGGAGACTTTATCCGATAAAATGATGGACAGTCTGACACCAATGTGAGTATGAATGTTGAGTTATTTATTGAATAGTATTTATTAAAGGATAAGTCCACTGTTACTATTGGATTTTATCGGTATAATTTTTTACATCCTTTGAAATCGAAAACTTATAACTGAATTATTGCAGTTTTTAATCAGCCAATCTACATTCTGAGATCTGCCTTTTTTAAATTGGAAAAAATTACTGGTGAACACATATTTCTTTTCCTTGTTAAAAGTACCCATCATTGTCGTCAGGTGTGTTTACATTTCGATTGAAAATTCATTTCGAGGATTTTGAAACGTAACGTTATAATCTCATCTTCCTATCTGAAGTCTTTCAAGACTCTTCAAACTATAACTTAATAGTATTTAAAATACACACCTCAATGCGAGATTTCCACTTGAAAGTTTACAAAGCCGACACCCGTGTTTCGGACGTACTCTTACCATCTGACCTGAAAGACCACTCACCATACAAAATAATCGGCTTCGTCAAAAAGCTGGATTCGATTGTGAATATATGTGAGCCACAATAAACCCTTGCGGGTTGCGGTGGAAAAAAATCTGTTCTGTTTAAAATCTGTTTTTCCGTTAACCAGCTGTCGCACCCCTACGAACGACAACCCTCAGAAGTCGAAACTTGTACGAGCTAAGGATTAACGAGGTCTTACCTTTCAACGTGTGATTTTTAACACGGGTTGGACGATAGCAAGTGAAGATCGATCGTTCAGACTAGGGCTTGAACCACCGACCAACACGGCAGTCGATTCGAGTGAGTGAATAAAGTACCCACGCCGAACCGCTTGGCTACCAACCGACCGGTCGAATAGACCCACTCACTTTGGACCTAACCTAACCTACTATAAAAATATTGTTCTTGGTTTTTACTTGAGTTCTTGATTGCTCTCTTCTTCCATTAAAGGTTTGAAATGTTAAACCTAAAGTTCTCACGGATAGGAATATCCTGAACTAGTTTCCAGATTTTGATCCGTGTACTGTGCTATTATCTTCAATATGGGTTTTTCACTTGGAAATTTACATAACCGTTACACTTCGCTATACACTATCATCTTTGGGCGTAACAATAATGACGCCCGAAACACGTGTCGCGGTTTTGTAAACTGTCATGTGGAAATCTCACATTGAGGTGTGTATTTTGAATACTATTAAGTTATAGTTTGAAGAGTCTCGAAAGACTTCAGATAGGAAGATGAGATTATAACGTTACGTTTCAAAATCCTAAAAAAGAATTTTCAATCGAAATGTGAACACACCCGACGACACTGATGGGTACTTTTAACAAGGAAAAGAAATATGTGTTCACGTTCACCAGTGATTTTTTCCAATTTTAAAAAGGCAGATCTCAGAATGTAGATTGGCTAATTAAAAACTACAATAATTCAGTTTAGTGGAGAATGATTCCACTGAAATCAAAAGATGAAAAGATAAATACCATTTTGATCATTTCTATATTGATTTCAATTCAAGAGCCACCAGTAGACAGCTGTTTCAGCATGTTGGGCATCATCAGTACCAGGCAGGCGTTTCTCGAATGAAGACAAAATGTGAATAATCAAGAAAAGTACTTGATAACTATAACTGCGTAAACGCAAGCGAGACATAAGTGGAACCACCTATTGGCGTGGTCGGAAAATAAATCCACATGTTTCTAGAAATGATATAAAATGGTAAAAGGGTAATGCAGTTAAGCTCTTAAATTGAATTGAAGGGGTTATATTGATATTGATATTAATATTGGAATTATCAGAATGGTACTTATCTATTTATCTTTTGATTTTCATGGAATTATTTTCCAGCATTTGGTAATATTCGTTATTCATGTCGAAATGGTTGTTTTTTTTTAAAGGAGACAAATAAAGTTAAAACTGGTATTCTTCATTCTGTGTTCCGAATGTCTTGTTTTAGAATTTTTAGATGTACGTCTCTCTCAATGTTTGACTTCTCATTCTTCACATGCCAATCTTAGGTGTGATCAGTCTTGTATGTTATGTTTTTGTTATATTCACTTAGTATAGTCTTTAATTTTATTCTGATGTCAGAGCTTTCTAGGTGTCAATGTTAATATTGTCATTATGTTAAAATAACTCATTATAAACATTTGCAAATTATTCCTTAGCAAATCACTGATAGAATTCGAAATCGATATTACTTCATTATCATCTCTCTACCCTTCATATGTTGTAGAATTAGAGAAATATCGGAATTTTTGTTGCTCTCGTCGACTTCGAGAACTAGAACTCTTCCAATTTTTCAAGTACAAAGTACATTGTTATATTCCATCCTTCTCATTGAGGTTCTTCTAATGAATTCTCTTCAGTTGTCCTGTTTGATGGATGCTTATTGATTATCTTCTACCTTCAATTCTGTAGGATAATAGGACAAACTAAAAAAAAGTAGAATAGACAGTTATCAAATGTGTGCAGTTTGGAAATAACTTTTTATTGAAACATTAAATTTTTTCAGCATACTTAACAAATACCCCAATACATATGCCTTCACAAAACAGATTGCAGAAGATGTTGTGAGGCAATGTGGAGCAGGTCTTCCAGTAGGCGTAACGCGACCTTCGATTGGTAAGACTTATTTCAAAATTTGTTTAGGTATAACAAGACTCCTTCACAGAGAATGAAATCATTGAGATTCGAAAAAAATCAATGAAACAAATTAAATTAAATAGAACCTTTGTTCTAATGGAATGAGATGTTTGTTGTTGAATGTTACATGTTTGAATTTACATTGTGAAAAAATGTACTGGGTTCAAAATGTTTGAATGAATCAGTCAAAAATGAAGATATAATATTCAATATATGAGAAAAATGAATAGTTGACATGAAATATGACAGTAATGTATAAATAAAACGAACTATTATGTGATAAAATGAAAAAGAAGCATCGATATGGGTTATAGAAGTCGAATCCTATTGACAATAAGTGGAATAATAATAATTTTCAAACAAAATAGAAAAAAAAGATAGTTGAAAAACATATGAGAATTTTTTCACGGTGACGACAAATTGGTCTTTCCTTAGTTTTCTATTAACGTAGATACTTCAAACAGTAGACGTCCGAACCATTAACATTCAAAAGAAACTGTTATTCAGTGCAGCTAAGTACATAAGTTTTTTTCCAAAAATCCCTACATCTTTCGATGCCAAAACTTTTTCCATACATTGATTGCCATCATTTCGGTATTTGTTTCTATGTTTTCCATAAATGTAATTCATTTCCTAATGAAACCTGAACTGTAATATATCCATGATAGTAGGTACATTTTGTATCTCATTCAGATATCAGGCCAATGGCGAGATGGGCCATAGTATGGTGTTAATAGATTCATAATCTGTGGAAGGAAAAATGGAATAAAAAAATGAATATTGAACAGTGACTGCGGAATTCAAAAACATAATAAGAACCCTGGTTTGAGAAGAAAACAAATTGTAACTTCGAATGAGAATGACTGAATGTATTCTTTTTTATGAATCCAATATTTTATCCAATTTTCATTTTTACATCCACAGATTTCAAATCTGTTAATGCATATCCTCACCTGTCACATTCACCAAGAAACATTGTCAACTACCATCAAAAATAAAAAAATTCTTCTGTAATTCTTCAATAATACGTTACCTGAGCAAGCTCTCCCCGAGATACTTTATAAAAGTTAAAAAATGATTTACCTCATGAAGGTGGAATCTCATATTCATTTTCGAATTTTTATTTTTTATTCTGTATAATCTTGAATGAGAGCGTGATTATGGAAAAACTTTTACTCAAAGAGATCTGAAGAAAAAACTCCTGTATTCTGAAAATTTCCTAATTGTTTTTATCTAATATATAAAAATATTGTGTCATGGTTTTTGTTATAGCATTTCCTCGACATAGATTGACCGAATTTCATGATTTTTGTGTGTTATTTTGGTAGGTATGAGAATAAGTCGTAAAGCATATTTCACCAGCTGGGAGATTAGGATGTCTCTATGAAAAAAATACGTATTTTTGTATATTCATTTCATATGGTATCAAATTTGATACCCTATGGAAATAATTCATATGGTAGTACAACATTTACCAGCTCAGCTAGTAGTAAATGAAAGTCAAATCAAAAACATAATGCAATGTCTGAACACAATACCAGTTCACATGAAATTTGGGTTTTAATTGTCATGTTTTAATGAAAAACTTACTTCAAAAAAGTTGCCAATCATTCATATATATGGAAATCAGGCCACAATTTACGAGCAGTCTAGAGATCTGAGCTTTGCTGTTCAGTTATGTAAGATTGACTCCCCTAAGTCTTCATAAGCATAAACAGTTTATGCTTGAGGAAGCTTTTGTATAGCGAAACACGTGTCGCGGTTTTTGTAAAACTATTCTATTGTGAAAATCATACAATAAACTGTATTGATTAGTTTTTTTATATGGTTATCAAGTATCGTCCAGTTCTATTCAATTATGATAATTTTCGCGATGAAGAATTTATTATCAATACGTGATTCACCACATAGTAGTTTCTTCAGTTGGACTGTGAAATTCAGTTGAACTAACAAGTCTAATTGTAGGAACTACTTATGCAGTGAATCGCGTATTGAAAATAAACTCTATATTGTGAAACTTTGTTATTATTATCATGAATAGTGTTATTGATTTAAGGTCAGTGAATTCAGAATTTAATAATAATTGTAAAATTGTTCAATGTACTATTTTTCCCCAGTTGTTTCTACCTACAAAGAACCCATCAGAGCGTGGATCAACAACATGTATGGAGCAACAGGAGTCGTGACTGGCGCTGGTGTGGGACTTGTGAGAACTTTGCATTGTGATCCTGATAGTAATGCCAATATAATACCTGTAGATATGTGTGTCAATTCCATGATTTCTACGGCATGGGACGTTTGCAAACAGTTCCAAGAAGCCAAGCAACAAGGAAAAAATTTTGAAATACCCATTTACAATTACGAGTCCAGCTGTAGTAAGGTAAGTTTTTCATCCAAATTTATAAATCAGATGTAATCTTATGTAACGTCCATTTTATCCGTGTAGAATTGAAACCTCTGGCATGTTATGAATTCAACTAAATACTTATCTTATATATCAATAGACTGTGTAACTCTCACCAAGAAGAATATCATGATTCTGCTGTGTGATATGAGTATTCTTGTTGGAACCATTTTGACTGCCAGACATTTCTATACAGAAATAAATTGATTCTGCTTTCTTGAAATTGAAAAATGATTACGTCAAATCATTGAAAAATTACTATTGTGACTCAGTTATGTCTAGTAGAATTGAACAAAAATATTGCTATATAGTTCGTGTCAGCAATATCATCATTCATCACTATTCTTCGCATTCTCATAATTATTTTTTTGCAGCCAATTACCTGGAGATATTTCATGGATTCATCTATTCGATACGGAATGATTACCCCAACTGTTAAAGCAATTTGGTACTTCAGTTTAGGATTGCAGAAATATTACATTCCTTACCTTCTCAGTATATTCTTTCTTCATACGTTACCTGCTGCCTTCATAGATGGAATACTTTTACTCTTAGGAAAATCACCAAAGTATGTATATTTTCAAAAAACGCACTGGAAGAAATGAAACGGCTTTTAGGTAAAATGTCAAATGTTCGTTCTAATATTTTCTAAACTTAAATTGTGACACCATAAATGTGATTTCCATGATACACAGGCCTACAAGATTCTTTTTTCAACTTTAGTCTCACAAAAAAAACCCTTTTATCTTTCGAACGTGACATATTGGGGTCGAACAAATTCGCTCAAGAAGGTGTAACATTTGATACTTTTCCTCATAAAAAATATATGTGTTGAGTCACTCGTTAATTTTCCACAAATAGAAGAGAAAATCTTGTGACACTTTATTGGAAATTCAATTTTGTTCTATATCCTGGTTCATTTCAAAAATCTTTCGTTTTCAATAATATTCAAACGAACTATAAATATCATTATTTCAATAGGAACTCAATTCAAAACTCACCTCATTTCATTTCAATGAATATCCGAAAAGTATTTCTTTTTATCTAACAAAATGATGGTGTTTTGTTTGATGATGGGGAAGAAGTGAAATAGAATAGATAATAGGTGTGGATCTCGTTCAACTTTGAATTTGCAAGTCTCTAGTTTTTTCTATATTTACTTATTACGATACGGTCTATGGCTCTTGTTTAATGGCATCATCTACGCAAAAAATCCAGAAAATCCAAAATTATTGTATCCGTTTCATCTATAGTATTCGTAAGCGTCAACCAATCAGTCATAAGCTACGAGAAGCCGGGTGGCTAAATAGGAAATCTCGCCGAAAACTTCACTGCTCCACCTTATATCATATAATAATTATTACCCAAACTCCCTCCTACCTTTATAGATAGATTGTGTTCCGCATTGTCGTTCACAATCTTGATATTAGATCGAAGAGTACTATAAAACCACCAATCCACAAATCATCATTGTTTGAGAGAAGTTTTTCCTATAATATATCGACCATTTACATTGCCATTCCAAATGATTTTAAGAATATGAAACCCTCCTCCTTTCGGAAACATTTGTTTGAATTTATGAAATCCTCTGATATCTAGAAAGCGATTATTTGAATCAGCACATATATCTATAGTTTTACTCAATTTTGATTAGATATTTTGTTCTGCTTGTCCAAAAGTTGAGTGGAATATCATCTTTGTGCACTCCAGGTGCTCAAGATGAACTCCGCCTTTTCAGTTTGCATAGGAAATGTTGTAGCGCATTTGATCTTATCTTATCCTTTTTCTGTGTTCTACTGAATGAAAAATATTAGTATTACTATTATTTCTCAGAAACGGGAATAATATTCTGAACTAGAAAGCTATCCATATCTCAGAATAAACTTGCTCATTTGCTTCCAGTGTTAGCGTTATATGTCAAAAGTACGCAGCTTATTACAGCTTCACATTGTTTCGAATTTTAGATCAATACAACTTGAAATACATTTTCTTGAAATTTTGCGAAAAATATTTTTCTCAATTCCTAAAAATTACATAGATCCAAATCCAACGTAAGTTTTCTCTACCCATTGGTTCTTTGATGAACTCCGGTTGCATAACCAATGCACACTTTAATGTAAGCCCAGAAAAAATGTTCAAGAGTGGTTTTTCTAGAGACGTAGGGGACCGTAATGAAGGAATACTTCTGGTACGGATTCCAACTTCAACCCACTTGACATGAGAAAAACAAAGACTAGTTGCGGACTTCAATATTCTTGAAGACTCGTGCCCTCTTGAAGACCCTTAACCTCGTGTAGCCACAGCAGAGATTCATTCTGTGCGACTTTCATGTAGGCTTTTTACTGAACGTGTTCCAACTCGGGTATTTTGTTCAGTGTCAAAAACCAAATCGAGTTCATTGGTCGCTTGAGTAGTTGCCTCAAATATAAACGCTTCATATACTTACAAACTGCTACAGGTCCCAATCGAATAGTTTTGTTGAGTATGAATGAGGAATGAATAATCGAGAAAGGATGATTCATATCAGCAACTTTGGTCTTCCTCGATGGTTTCAAAGACCAGTTCAGTCGTTTTTTGTGATATAAGACGTGAAGAGAGTTTATGGTGCTGGCGATCTTCCACCACCAAGTTGGTGTATGTCTCTAGAAAATCCATTATGTGAGATATTTCTGTCTACTAGTTTCACATCACTGTATTCTCCCCAATAGTGAGAAATTCACATGAATGATAATTTAATGGTTATCATTTTTATCGCTTTCAAGTTCATTGCTGTTCGGAAGAAGCGTTTCATCGTTGATACGGAGGAGTATCAACGCTTTGAAATAAATAAGCTCAATAGTAAACAAACATCCGATCCACTATTCACTTGCTGGCATTTCAATTGTTCTTCATTTCAGGATGTCTAAAGCTTATAGAAAAATCCACAAATTCACCAACGTAATATCCTACTTCGCTACGAGATCATGGACATTCAGATCTGAAAATGCCCAAAAACTCTGCGACAAAATGTCTCACAATGATAAGGAATTATTCTTCAGTGATCTGAGGAAACTTGATTGGGATGATTTTTTCCAGTATTATCTGCAAGGTGTAAGAATCCACTTGCTGAATGATCCTATTGAAACTTTGGAACAAGCTCAAATCAAGTGGAGAAGGTAAATTATTTTGAATTATTTTGTAGTTTTTCTCCGATGAATTGTATGGTAGAACATAATTTTTCTAAAAAAAGCAATTCTTGAAAATATTCGGGAATATTCCTATTTCAAACCTAATAAGGTAATTCTCAGGATGGCTGTGCTAACCAGGATATCCAACTGATATTTGGTCATTCTCTACTACGATTTGTTTCATTTTCTGAACAAAAAGTGGAAACCCAAAAAAGGCTACTTTCCGAACATAAACGTATTCATAAAATAATATCACAATATTACTATACTTGCCATGATTAGTATAAAAATAGCATTAGATTAGGTTAGCTTAGGTCCAAAGTGAGTGGATCTATTCTACCCTCCACCACAACCCGCAAGGTTTTATTGTGGCTCATACCCACTCACACTCGACAAAATAAACCCAGCTTCTTAACGAATCCGATTAGTTTGCATGATAAGTGGTCTTTCAGGTCAGATGGTAAGAGTACGGCTCTTCCGAAATCTAAAAACCTGACTCGGGGCAGACCCAAGGTATATGCTCTGCTGTTTCATCGTTAATGAGGTAATCGGATAGTCGAAGTGCAAGATTCCCACATTGATACCCGCGACAACCTTTCCATATGAGGGTTTTTGCACGTCAGCTACACATGACGATGCCTTAGATTCAGCCGTGCAGGGCCTCTGGTTTTGGTAAATCCTCACTTGAGCCCAAACGTTTGCTAACCTGCTCATGCGGAATTTGTTCCTCCACCTGAGACAGATTCTGCGTACGCCACTTAAGAATTTGGTGCAAGGCGGTTCCATAAGGTACCCCGCTCTTGAGGAAACGACTCAGTCGTTTCCTGGCTGCACCACCAAACCTTTTTTTTAGCGATTCTGTCATTCCCGTGTCCACCGGAGCTGCGTGGAAGCAGGCATCCTATGGCCGGTTTGCTTAACCCCCACATCCCAAGCCAATGCACACTCACCAAAAACAGCATGCACAGTGGTTCAGGCAGTGAAAGATGAACAACGATAGCGCCAACCCGCCAAAATGGTATTACACATAGTAGAATTTCATCCATCCCAAATTATATCCACTATAAAATCATTAATTTCAATAGTTTGTTGTTGAACTTCTTGGGTATTTTAATCATCCCCAGCCTAATGAAAAAAATTCAGAAGGAAAATTGATACAGGTCCAGGAATCCATCTCCTCCATCAGGTTGAAAAACCATATCAAAAATTCCTCTCTGCACTTACTAATACTAACTTACAACTAATCTTGATTGAAGTCTATTTTTTTGCCGTTAGTGCATTGATTGTTTTATCATTTCCACATCTACATGAATTATTTCACCACATTTTTATACTTCAATGACATACTTCAAATTCAACTCATACGGTTACTGCTTCGTAGTCCTTTATTTCTCTCTCTCTATTTGTATGTTTCCGGTAAACTAATTGTTTTATGCTTCTGAGAGAGACCAAACATTCAGTAATTCAGAAGTTTGAGACGGAGGGGAGATGTTATATTTTTATCAAGGAGTGATGAGTAGAATCATGCTGTATCAAAGTTAGGTTTTCTCGACTAGAATATCACTCACCCCATCTGAACTGAAGACCCCTTTATCAAAATATCACAATAATATCATCTACCTAAAAACATCGAAACAACAAAAAGGCATACCAGTAAAAAAACTTTTTTTGAAAGCGTCTCATCATAAGAGGCATACTAACCGAGACATGTCACTATATTTATTTTTTTGTTTTTAACAATGTCTTTCTCATCAATACTTCAATGGAACATCAACGAATGATACAACCTCATCATGATTCAAAACCTCATCATGATTCAAATCATGCTTCAAACTTTTATATCAGAACACAAGCCACCACAAGTCATCTGTCTACAGAAAACAATCCTCAATGACGAGCCTGAGGCGGCAGCGACGTTATTTTCAGAAATGGTACACTTCGAGTCGGAAAATCTCGCCAGAGACTGTTGCCGTCACTGTGCAATGGGAAGGGAAAATAAGTGCAACATATACCATTACCAGGAGAACCAATTGAGAAACTGGGCCTCATAATCTCAATAAACCAAAATCAGTATCCTAGGTTTCTTACGGGAGATACTTATATAACGTACAACGGAGATCCCCTAAAGAAACACGAGTACCCAAAGCTTCTACAATACAGAACATTGAAATTGGTGACTTGATCTTACCCTGTAAGACGCAAGCCCAACAACCAAAGTATCATGGGATACATTCCACTATACATTTCAATAAAAATTTTCTCCAAAATGAGAAATGAATTAAGATTACTGTTATGTTATGTTGTTTGAAATATGTTTTTTCCATTGACCAGCTATCGCACCCCTACTTACGAATATCTCATAAGTCGAAACTTGAAAGGGCTAAGGAGTAACGAGGTCATATCTTTTAGCGTCTGATTCCTAACACGGGTTGGACGATAGCAAGTGGAAATCGATCGTTGAGCCTGCGTCTAAAACTATTGACTCACACATCGGCCGATTGACTGGGTGAACAAAGCACCCACGTCGAACCGCCCGGCTACCGACCGACTTTTCAAAACCTATCTTGTAAAATATACCGGTGTTTTTGAAACACCTACCTCATACATCTGAATCACAAATTCCACAAAATTCGAATGACAGCCAATGATTATTATAATTTTTAAATAGAAAAACCCAAAATGAAACCTATATAACAATATCATTGATTTTATCAATGATATCACTGATGATACATCTCATTTCTAGTATTTTTTCCACATATGTATTCGGTATTTTTAAATTCTCATTTCAAAATCTAAAAACAGCGACACATTGAAACTAAGATTCCAGTTGAATTGAAACATATTTGTAGGATGCAATATGATTAACATTTTTTCGTTACACAACATTATTTTTCACTTTTTCACTGAATTCACATAAATTAAAATATTCATATTTCAATTTCAGGCTTTATTGGCTACACCAATTCGTCAAAACCATAGTTGGACTCCTATTGATGGTTTTATTGTGGTTTATAGTATCCTACCTTTTTTCACAGTGATGTTTCGGAATGCCTTTTATACTGTGATTGGCACTCGCAAGATATTGTTCCAAAGTTTCCTTCTGGGAGTTATAACCGTGTTTATATAGTGATATACATATTGTATTTATTCCAGTTAAATATTTCATTAATTATAAGAATAAATAGGCACAAAGCATGTGCTCTGCGGTTTCATCATTTTCCAAACAGAGGCGAGACACACTGTCTTCCGACAGTCCGAGTCTCCGCATATGAAGATTCAAATGACAGTGACCTGTAAGAAGGCCTGTAGTCCAACAACTGTTTGGTATCAAGCTTCCAAGGGTGAATAAACGCTTTGGAGTGAACCAATTCTGGAAGTCCATAGATCTTCTTGCCATCCAGGTGTTCAATCTTTGTTTGACAAAGCCTAAAGTGATGCCAATGATAGGTTCTGGTCTAATGAAGCTGCTTGCAGCACCCTCCTTTGCAAGGGAGCCAGCAGCCTCATCGCTTTCCAGGCCAGTATGGTCAGAAATCCATACCCCAGAGGCAATATGTTAAGTCTTATCATCGAGGAGAGTCGTTTTTGGCAATTTGCTACCAATTTAGACGTTGCCTAGTAGGAGCCAAGAGCTTCAAATGTCGCTTGACTGTCCGAAAATATTTTTATTGATTTGTGTATGAGGTTGGATTCTTCCAATCTCTTCGCGTAAATTTCCGTTTGAAATACAATCGCATTCGTTCCTAGGCAGGTTGATATCTCTATCGTGGGTCTGCAACTGAACACACACCTGCACCAGAACTGGAAGATGTTTTTGATCCATCTGTGAACCAACAACTATCTGTTCTCAATATTTCCTTCTCCCGGAGGATACGGTCCTCCCTACTCGGGACACAGGCAGCTGACAGTTGAAGGCATAAAGTCGGCGGTCATTTCCAGAATGCTGTGACTTCCAGAGTCAACCAACAGTCTGTTGCATTCTGCATTGAATTGATTTGTGCAATTGGCAATGTGCACAAGTCTTTATGCAGTCCATCTAGCCTCTCTCTCCAGAAAAATGTGGAGAAGAGGTAGATCTAGAAGGATCTTCATGGCCGCTGACGGTGTGATACTGATGGTCCCACTAATGGGGTTGTAAGAGCAAATGAAACAACTGTGGATCTGGTTGACTTTGCCAATTTATTCGAGTGGTCAAAGTTGTTTGTCAGATAAGATACCAACGAGAATACGAGAATTTGACAGACCTTAAAACTATATAAATTGTTAATATGCAGAAATACATTTTGGAAATGAAGTTGCATTCCCCATTGAATTACTCCCAAAGACATTCAAAATAACTTTAGGTGTTTCGAAATGTAATAATTCGAAAAGTGTCAATGGCAACGACTTGTTTTCCATTGCAAACCTGAGTTTTATTTCGCATAAAATAAACGATATTACAGAAAACGGTAGATAGTGTTTTTATATTATTTCCAGTGGAATGCTCCGGATCCACGTCAATCGTAGTTTTTTTGGTAATACTGGCCTTTTGGGTATGCAGCCAACAATATCACACGGACTGAATGCAAGTTGCCTATTGTGATAGCACAAAATAAAATATCGAATGCAAAACAACAGTGGCGCTTTAACCGACAAAACGAAGACATTTATACCACAACAAATGATTCCTGTAAGTAAGAAAGACGTACAAGGAAAGGAGAATGGTTTTGTTACAGTTCCCACTGGCGATGAGGTAGTGAACAATTCAACAACCGGGTACCTCAAGAGAGTCATATTAACGACCACACCGGGCGGTCTGGGGGGCCGGTTAGGCCCCCCAGGAAACTTCCTGACGTTGGATGCAGTCGGGTGTGGTGAGGTGGTTTTTCGGGAAATCCTTGTGAGTACCGCCCCTCGACCCACACCAACAGGATTTCGCAGGGCTTCCTCCCGCTCACCAAACCCGGAGTTGCTCGGATACTAGTAGCGTCGTCGATCTGGGTACGACACCTCGAACGTCTGCCTTGGTGCTTTCCAAGGCTAGACTCGAATATTAGTTTCCCAATAGATGGATCGCAAGCCTCAACACCTCGAACGCTATACAGAAGCAGGCGAGGATCACGGAACAGCATGAGCTGTCCAGTGCCTCAATAAGGGGCTGCAAAGCACCCATGAATGGATCACCGCATCCCGTCCAGTTTACCCGCTAGTGGAGCCGCTGCTCCTAAGAGGCCAATGTCAATTGAAGATGAGGCTCGCTAGTCTCCAGCCGCGAACGAGCACTACATTTTCCCCCTAGAACTCATGTCAGTTTAATGTTTTAACGTTTAATGAGTACTTAACCGTCGAGAACTCTTTCGAGCATCCTCTACCACATATCTTATGTCGAAGACGTCCGTGTAGATGCGGTATAGGGTAGTTCGCCAACAACTTTTGGGAGTACGCCGTGTGTTCTGCACCGTATACCCTTATGTTAGCTACCTTTCCAACGTTGGATGAGTGACCGCGAGACACATCTCTCACTCATCTAGCTTGAAACCGGTCCACTCCTATTGCCCGCAGATGCGTGATTGGGTAGTTGACCGGTGACTTCACGGGGTAAGTGCCGTGTGGTCTGCACCGGGGACCTGTCAATCACCCTTAAGAGAGTGACAGTGACTTCCCCATCAAATACTCACCCACCCCCGCCGATAGTCGACCACCTCACCTCAACCAATCGATACATTTGTTTGACGTAATTGAATACCAATGAGTCTTGATATAACTATGTTACTAGCAAAGCAAGTATTTCAAGTCACTACCGGGCTAGATACTTTGGTGCAACACTGCAAAGCACATGTGCTACTTGGTGCACACGATCAGATGGCTACACGGAACATGGAGTCGGGTAGTTCGGACAGGAATGACAGTTGTTCATGATTGTAATCGTGTAGTCTCATATAAATGTATTACATTTATTGCGAAATGTCTTGTATATGTGTTTCTCGTGTCTTATTCAACTTAGCCGAGCCAATCTGGTGTATCAATCTGACTGTTCCTATACGACCAGTATTCTAAGCATCACATAAAATATATAGACCCGAATATTAGAGCAACTCCAATATTCTGCAATATCGAAGGAAGGTTAGGGACTCGTTTTTCTCCCAAAAATGCTTTCAAGAAAAGTGCCCGACCAACTTAGTCCCCCTGATTCGACAGAAAGCGACTTAGTTCCGAAGTACGTAACAATTTATATGGATGTACTTGGTTTCGAGGTTCAACTCAATATCTATATTTCGAATTAGGTTTTTTTAAAACTCCTTTTGGAGAACGGCGTCATTGTAAATTGAACTTATCAGGATTTTTTTCCGAATAGATATAGTTCACCGTGATTTGAGTTCAGTGTGAATCGCATCTTCCACACAGATATTTTTCTAGGAAGTTTTTCTTCAATACTTGCGTAGGTCCGCAAAAATTTTCATATGTGAGATGGATAATTCTAGTTTGGATAAATAAATGAAAACATACAGCGATAAGTAGTTTTTGGTACCTACCTACCTACCTTCGATTATACAGATAGTATTAGTTTCGTAATAGTGTATCAGCAAGTTTTTGCATTGGAAATCATCATTTTGTTGGTTATTTTCTCAAAACAGATTAGGTATCGCTAGGGTTTCTTAGCGAAATAGTATCACACTGTATATAAATAAGCTACCGTGCTCTACAAATTGTAGATGTATCGGTTAACAAGTATATGTTAATTGTTAGCCGAAACATTTGAATAACGTAAGGTGAATTCCACTAACGGCTCTTCGCTTATTTCAATTCCAATCTGAAGTAAAAATTGATGAACCGTTTGTTCAAGTGTCATTTATAATGATTCATAAAAAGTTTTTAGTTTTGATGAACATACTTTTCATTGTTACTGGTAGAAATGGACATCATTTGTCAAAGCGGTATCTTCTCTTCACGAGATCTACACAAGTACAGGTAATATAAAAATAAGTTACAGATTCAGTACCTAAGTAAATTTAGGAACCAGTCTGGCTATTTTCTGAAAGTTTTAGTCTAGGTACGGTACAGAAATATCAATTTTGTTTCAATTGAATATCATTCAAAGAATGTAAAAATACTACCAAACCTTTATTATCGATTATTAAATGTAACGAACAGCTATCACAGAACAATCAAAAGTAGAAAAATCATAAGTAAAGCACTTTATACTTATCACATTACTATTGAAAATATATAGGATCTTTCATTGGGCTGTAATAACTACGGTAGATCCTTTTCTGTCAACAGTGTGATAACGTACAAAAATTAAAAAGGTCTGTCACTAGTGAAATAATACATAACTGTCTATCTATCCTTGGTAACCCTCTGTATATTGCCGTGTTTGTTTTATATAAATTAAATTTGCCAGCTGCTGTCACCAGATGCAGATTTCTCCACATCAAAATTTGGATGTTGGGCATCGAAAAGGCTGTAGGGTTCGTGCGATCGCACGAAGGCCGGTTTTTTTGAAATCTGATCATTTGGTATAGCTTCTTATATTCTCTCTCATTATGTGGTTCCAGAACATAATTTTAATCTCAGTAAAAATGCTTTTCACTTACTATTCCCTCTATCAATATATTGACAAAAGGTCTCTAATTTGTTTTTGTTCTCTTAACTTCATCTCACTCTACGAGGATGGTATTTTTCTCTGTCCAAGAGAAAATGAAAGTCCAAGGTTTCAAATATAAAGTATAATCAGTGAAGCACCGACTCCATAGACAAAATTTAAAAATAAACGGATGAAATCTATGAAAGAAAAGAAAATACAACAAATAATTCGCCGCCAATTTGGCCATGCTATTAACTATTAATTTAACCTATTGAACAACTACGAATGCACCAACTCAGTACAAAATACTTTTAGTTTCACTCTTACTTTAGGGAGAGTGGTGTATGACTTTAAATTTGTGCCCTTTTATATAATTGTAATATGAACTCTAGCTAAACAACCCGCACTAACAACCCGACAATATATAACCTCTTTGCAAATAGGAAGTGGACTCAGACAAAATAATATGTGAACTCTCTCTGGATATTTTTTAAGAATCTGATTTTCATACATACCGTCATGTTCCAACTATAATACCGAGGAAAATATAGAAAAAAATTAAAAAGTTCACTGACTTTCGACTTTGAGAATATCTAGTTATATTGTTATGAAACTAATTTCAAATACTATACAGAGATCAAAATACTCCAGGTACGTTTTCGTTGACCTCAAGGAGATGAAAGTAAACTAATTCCCTTTTCTGTGAACTCGGCAAATTGAAAGGTATTTCATAGAACGAAAAATGGCAAAATCTTTCCTAACGTATCTTAAAAATCACTGAAAATCTGAAAAATAGGTGAATTTGCGGATATGAATGTGCTCTTTGGGAAAACAGTTCAAACATTGTAAAAACAATAAAGTGGATGATATTAACATGAAAATTTCGTTCATTTTTTTTACCGTAATATTCCAATCATTGTAGAAAATCTGAATAACATCGCTATCCGGTATACTATCCGGTGAGAACGCACACGTTTTCTCTTATGAGGGTGGTCGTTCGTGGAGGGGCGTCAGTTGATTAACGAAAAATCAGATTTTAACGTATCTTTTCCTATCATTTCAGAAACTGTATGATGTAAAAGGCAAGTTTATGTTCATAAAACGCTCAAGATAACCAACTCAAAAATGAGTATGGTAAGATATCCGTAAAAAAATTCTGTAGACCTATAAGTAGTAAATTGTTTTGTTGTATCCCAAAGGAATGATGCACCGTTTTCGATGTGTGAATGTATAGATAACATCATCATATTACAACCAATTTACTGAAAACTTCAAATAATTATCTTGAATCACATCGTCCATTGGTAAAAACCGTGTAAAAAGCCGTTTTGTAATCAGCTGGTAAAACATTTCAACCCTTTCGGTCATAGTCAATTGACTACGTCAATTTTTTGAGAGATTTTTCATAAGATGCGTCGGAAATACTTTGTTTAATAGAATGTAGTGGGAACAAAGTTTAAAAAATATTTCTCAAAGGTCAGACATAGAACCACATATGAGAATTATCAAATGCGGAGAAAAATTCAGTATACCATGAATAATGAGAGATCTTCTTGAAAAACTATAGATTGAAGAATTAAAAAATTCAACATTTCAATAAATGTCCAAGTAAAGAATTGAATGATTTCCCTCTTGGTAATTGAATGCACAGAAGTGATATATCTTTCATCAACACAATTATACACAATGATCATCTTGAAGATGATCACATGTTGATTCAAACACGTGTCGATGTGTTCAAAATGACGGTTTGGTGTTGGGATACAATTCCAGCAATATTCATTAACACTTATATTATTCAAATAAGATCCCAAATATAACAGTTGAACTAGATAAGTACACTGCTACATAAAAAACGATTTTTTTTCAGCTGAAAAAGTTTTGTAGTTTTCTGATCTGATTTTGAAGAAATCCGGCAGTCAATTTTATGATACGTGCTTTAATTTTCAGTTCAGCGTGGGAATCTCATTTCCTTTAGTTTTACCGAGAAGATCCATCAATTTCAGTTTGGTGACACAAGCAACTTATTTATTGCCTTACAATATCTCAAACTTTCAACCAATAACAATATCAGCGAGAGATAGGGAGAAATCATCCGTCTTTGATATAAGCAGAAATAAATTCTATGAGTACATTATCGATTTTCTTGACAGGTGAGTATGCAGTGTGATATTCCATTACATATACTGAAGTCGAAGTAATGAGAAATCTTACGTCTCATTACCCTACCAAATTCTTTGATTCAACAATAAATTACATCATTGAATCGAACAACTTTGTAGCTGGTGTATCTCGGATGTTTTTCATACTAATACTACAGGAGTGAATCCAAAAATATCTAATGACGATCCCAAGCAAAAGCACAGGAGGTGGCTAAAGGAAGAAATATAGATAGATAGATAGATAAGGCGCTACGACAGTCCTCCTCTTCATTAAGAAGACCGTCCACATCAAAAACATGGACGCAACTGTCTCCAAAAAAGATATCTTCGATACTGTGTGGGAAAATAGGTTGGACGATGAGCATACTTGCAAACATGCAGAAACAAATTGTACAAAAATTCAGGTAATAACGACATGTTATAACGACACGGAGAGCCTAGAGGAAACGAATGACACGTACTACTACAACAAAGGTCATCAGCGATTTTAATGCCAAATCCCCAGAATTGTAAATGAATCTTGGTGATGCAAAAAGACATAAAATGATAGAGTGAATCGTAGCAAAAAACCCTATAGTTGGGAACCAGGATGGAAAAACAAACTTCGTACACCAGAAATATGGCTTCAATTTTGTATTGTTTCAACAGAGAACATCAGACCTCTCATCACTCTGTGGAAAAATGATCAATGCACCAAATAAAAACTGGAGTACAACCATTCCAGGAGAATTTTTCATGAAACTCAAGATTTGTCATGAGTTTATGCCTAGAAAACACCGGTATATTTGAAATAACGGAATCGCAGAACTTCGAAACCAGTGTCTTTGGTAGCGAAGACGGTACACAAGAAATGCATCAATAGCCGAAAACGAACGTATGAGGGAAGCTATTGAGAAGCTATACGAAACTATTGGGAAAAGATTGTACGTACACATGAAAGTACAAAGTAATAATAAAAGGCATACTAGGATTTCAACCTGACCAACCTCTTACCTTGGACGATATGGAAAAAGTGACTGATTATATCTTTCCTACTCAAGGAGAAGTATCATTTACCCTGAACAGAAGTTATGATTTCCATAGTTTCACACCCGAAGAAGTCAAAACCTTATCAATCGAATTCAAAAACAACACCGTCCCGGGTCCAAGTTATATGCATGAAAAAATAATGAAAGTAATAGCCTCAGAAAAACCGGACTACACCGTATCGGTTTATGATGACTGAGCGCAAAATGAAACGTACCCAACTGAGTGGAGAAAACCAATACTGGTATTTCTTTGGAAAGAAGATGAACCAATTGAAATTCACTGACCGTATAGACCAATTTGTTCACTTGATTTTGAAAGAACATCTACTCCTAAAGCATCTGGATGAATAATTAAATTTTGTCTCGCTGCAAAGTTCGAAATACTTTTTTAACCAAAAATAATATCGATATAACGTGATACAGGACAAATGAGAAAAACTCCTGCTGCTAGAAGTATTAAAACAGCTTGATTATTCAACGAAAATGGCAAATATGTTCAAAAATTATTTTTTATATCCTACTCTCATTCACGAATTTACAAGCGGTAAAATCGACTTAGATTTGATATTTAAATGAAATTCATTCATTTAGTTCTATGAATGAATAAAGTTCATATGAGTTGACATTCTACAAGCAGTAGAATGTCAACTCATATCAAGTAATTTTCTCACCTGAGAGCACAGTTTAACAACAATTTTTGCATGTATAGGCCAATTATTTATACCTTTCATCCCATTATTTATGCCAACAGAGATTGGCAAAAATTGGTTAGTTAACAATTCAATAACTTTTAAAAAAATGGTGATAAAACTTTTTTTCTACTTTCGACCTCAGATTTGTGATCAGCAGGAGCCTTATTTTTCAAAAACTAGCACAAGCTGTGGAATTCACCATTATATAAGACAGTCTCAGCACAGTTTAAACGGCTTATTGATATTTTGATGGCAATACAGCTGGTAGCCTGTGCAACATTACACGCAATAGGCAGTGCATTTTTCGTTTGGGAGTTCGATGTTGCGAATTGGTCATTTATTTAGTGATATCCATGAAGCAAATCGAGCGGTCATGAAAAATCTCTGTCCTAACACGTTTCGTGTATTGCTACATCTCTATACAATTTACTAGGAATTGTGTTTTTAAAAGCAAGACATACGTACTTTAGTGGTGGAAAACTCCCGTAAGTAAACTCTTGGAAACAGTTTATATTAATATGTTTATTATTATTTTTTGAGTTATTAACGAAAAACTAAATACCATTTTTTTCAATCGTATTTTGTTAATAACAACTGCAATTTTTTACCTGCACCAAAATCCTTCGAAAACAGTTTTCTAGAGGTGATTCCGAATCGAATGAGCTGTCACTCATATTTTTAGGACCTTTATCTCTATTTTTCATGTTTTTGAACTTGTTGATTAGACTAATAATAGGGGAGCCCAAGCGGTGATTTCGGGACTTACTGAAGCGTGGCAGATAATTATACAGAGGGCTATCTTGTACCCGGTTGAGTACCTCCACCAAATATCAGCCCCATATATAAGGTCGCCTGTGAGGGATAAAGGATTAGATTAGTAAAAAAATTGATCATCAGAAATTCTCGAGTGCGTTAGATTAAGGAAGGGTGAGTTATTTACTTGCTAAAAAGTATATATTTCAGTAATCTGACAATTTGAGAGTGACGTAAAGAAAGGGGAGGGCAGCAAAGTTGTGAAAAAATAACGTAATTTCGACATTCTCGAGAATGAGTGATTTTT